GCAATCATGAAGGACCACATTGTTATGGAAAATATTTGAATGAAGACATTACGTTTATTAGCAAGAGACAACTAGGCAGCTTCGAACTTCCAGCGTTTTGTTCATTTAGATAATGGTACTCTTTAGGGCATAATTTATTGTCTTAGTTTTTTATTGTCTGTCATGCAGGTTGTGTGATGGAATGGCCTTCATATTATGTCATAGGTAGCAGCAGCACTTGGAGCCAAATTTGTTACTACCAAAAGTAGCCTGGACTTCATAATCTGTTTCTAGATTCTATTGCCCCTACAATCTTATTGGCCATATATATATTTTTTTTTTTTTTTTTTTTTTTTTTTCTTTTTTTGAGACAGTTTCACTCTTGTTTCCCAGGCTGGAGTGCAGTGGAACAATCTTGACTAAGTTGCAGCCTCCGACTCCTGGGTTCAAGTGATTCTACTACCTCAGCCTCCCAAGTAGCTGAAATTATGGCATGCGCCACCATGCCTGGCTAATTTTGTATTTTTAGTAGAGTTGGGATTTTTCCATGTTGGTCAGGCTGGTCTTGAACTCCTGACCTCAGGTAATCCACCCACCTTGGCCTCCCAAAGTGCTGAGGTTACAGGCATGAGCCACCCTGCGCAGTCTAATTTTTGCGTTACTAGTAAAGACAGGGTTTCACCATGTTGGCCAGACTGGTCTCGAACTGCTGGCCTCAGGTGAATCTACCAACCTCAGCCTCTCAACGTGCTGGGATTACAGGTGTGAGCCACTGTGTCAGGCCAAGAAGTTATTTTCTCTGAATTCTCATTTCAGGCCACCCCATTCTTTTATGCTTCCATCAAACAGCCACTTGTAAATTACTTGCAAATCATTCTTAGAAATTACTTACCTTAGATTACTTTAGTCTCTAAGTTTCATCTAGAAACGAAAATGTTCTTTAACTTTTTTTTTTCCTTCATTCTTTGGTAATACCATAAAGAAGGAAGATTGCCAGGCGCGGTGGCTCATGCCTGTAATCCCAGCACTTTGGGAAGCTGAGGCAGGTTCGAGACCATCCTGACCAACATGGTGAAACCCTGTCTCTACTAAAAATACAAAAATTAGCCAGGTGTGGTGGCACGCGCCTGTAATCCCGGCTTCTCAGGAGGCTGAGGCAGGAGAATTACTTGAACCTGGGAGTTGGAGGTTGCAGTAAGCCAAGATTGCGCCACTGCACTCCCACAGACAGAGTGAGACTCTGTCTCAAAAAAAAAAAAATATTAATTTTTTTTTTTTTTTTTTAATAAAGGCAAAAAGCTGAATAAAGATGTTATATTCATATAGATTGGCAGAGTATAGATACTGCATATAATTTAAGAAACAAATTTTAGGCCAGGCATGTTGGGAGATGCTGGTAATCCCAGCACTCAAACAGAAGGATCACTTGAGTCTAGGAGTTAGTCAACTTTCTACAAAAATAAAAATGAAAATTAGCTGGGCATGGTGGCGTTAGCTGGTAGTCCCAGCTACTTGGGAGGCTGAGGTGGGAGAATTGCTTACCCCAGAGGTTGGAAATTATAATGAACTATGATCACGCCACTGCACTCCAGCCTGGGTGACAGAGTGAGACTCTTGTCTTTTTATAGAAAATTTAGAAGAAAAAGATTTTATCAAGAGTTCTATACTTGTGTAAAACAGACAGATGCTTCACAGAGGTAGTAATATTTGATATAGCATAAGGATGAATAGAATCTGCAGGTGTTTCTTAGGTTGTACCATCTAAGGAACCAGACAGAAAATGCCTGTCTGTGAACTTGGTATTTATTTCTAGGGCAGCATTAAGGAGTCAAATAGGAAAGGAAATGTGCCACTGTTAAGTTGCAGGGAAAAGGAAAAGCTTGAGGCAAATGCTGAAGGTTCAAGGTGTATGGTACTTTCATATTTTAAGAAATCGGTACAGGAAATAAAAAGACACCATAGATAGGCAGTCAGATTTCACAAAGTCTTTAGTGTACGTACTGTGGGCTTGTGGTTTTTTTTTGTTGTTTTTTTATTTTAATAGAGGCAGGTGAAAATAGACGACAGGCAGACCTGTTGTCTACAATGTACTGGTTTGAATTAAGACAGTCACAGTGGGTAGGAATACATGGGAAGGATTTTAGTGTATATGTGCTTAGAGGTAGAATTGAAGGACCCTTTGGTCTTGGCAGACAGAGATAGAAATCTGATATGAATTCTTTGATTGGGCAATAGCAATAGCAATTTTTGTGTTTTGGAGGCAGAGTTTTGCTCTTGTTCCCCAGGCTGGAGTGCAGTGGCTTGATCTCTACTCACTGCAACCGCTGCCTCCCGGATTCAAGCAATTCTCCTGCCTCCCCAGTAGCTGGGATTACAGGCGCTCACCACCACACCTTGCTAATTTATGTATTTTTAGTAGAGACGAGGTTTTACCATGTTGGCCAGGCTGTTCTTAAACTCCCGACCTCAGTTGTGATTTGCCTGCCTCAGTCTTCCAAAGTATGGGATTACGGGGTGAGCCACCGTGCCCAGCCAGCTATAGCATCTTAAATTATTCTGAGTGCTTGCTGAATGTTTCTTTCTCTCTTTTTTTTTTTGGAGACTGAGTCTCACTCTGTTGCCCTGGTTGGAGTGCAGTGGTGCGATCTCGGCTCCCTGCAACCTCCACCTCCTGGGTTCAAGCGATTCTCCTGCTTCAGTCTCCTGAGTAGCTGGGATTACAGGTGCGCACCACGATGTCCAGTTAATTTTTACATTTTTAGTAGAGACGGGTTTCGCCATATTGGCCAAGCTGGTCTTGAACTCCTGACCTCGTGATCTGCCTGCCTTAGCCTCCCAAAGTGCTGGGATTACAGGCATGAGCCACTATGCCCAGTCATGCTTGCTGAATTTTCTAGTAGTGATGTTGACTTACAGTTGGGATCCTATGTGTAATTTGGCAGAAGAGAAGGAAGGGTGGCTTCATACTTTATGTTTGGGATATAAAGTTGACTGCAATTTTAATTATTTAAAATAATTTTTAAATAGTTTGAAAGATTAATGAAAATTCATTATTATAACTTTCATTATCAGTAAAATGTTTGACTTTTGAATAATAAATGCTGTTTTTCAATTTATTATTCTAGTATGATGGCTCCAAGTGAGCTTAACGTGAATATAGAAAAGAACTGCTTTTTAATGTACATGTGGGGCCTTACACAGCGGCTCACACCTGTAATGCCAGCACTTTGGGAGGCCGAGGTGGGCAGATAACTTGAGGCCAGGAGTTCCAGACCAGCCTGGCTGACATGGTGAAACCCCATCTCGACTAAAAATAACAAAAATTAGCTGGGTGTGGTGGTACACACCTGTAGTCTCAGCTACTCAGGAGGCTGAGGCAGGAGAATTGCTTGAACCAAGGAGGCCCACAGCCTAGGCAACAGAGTGAGACTTCATCTCAAAGAAAAGAATAATACCTAGGGGTTGCAAAGTCAAATGACTTGAAGGGCCAAGCAGATAACTTAGAGCAGGTAGATTTAGAACAGCAAGGAGTAGTGTGGAGTCTGGACTTTGGCATGCTATATCTAAAGGATTCAGAATCAGAAGTTTTAAAAAATACTCTTACCATAAGTGTCCCTAAACAAAAAAGGACATTCCCAAAACATCCATTTTCTACTTTTTTTTTTCCCCAAGGCAGAGTTTTTGCTCTTGTTGCCCAGGCTGGAGTGCAATGGTGTGATCTTGGCTCACCACAACCTCTGACTCCCGGGTTCAAGCCATTCTCCTGCCTCAGCCTTCCAAGTAGCTGGGGTTAAAAACATGTGCCACCATGCTCGGCTAATGTTGTATTTTTAGTAGAGATGGGGTTTCACCATGTTGGTCAGGCTGGTCTTGAACTCCTGACCTCAGGTGATCCACCCACCCAGGCTTCCCAAAGTGCTGGGATTACAGGTGTGAGCCACCACACCCAACCAAGTTTTCTGCTTTGTATATAAGCAAAATATAGGAATAATCATTTAAATGAGGCCCAGCATGGGGCTTACATTTACAATTCCAGCACTTTGGGAAGCGGAGCGGGGAGAATTGCTTGAGCCCAGGAGGTTGAGACCAGCTAGGCAACATGGCAAGACCCTGTCTCCCTTTTAATAGTCAGAAAAAAATAAAATCATTTAAATGTTAGGACATGACAAAAGGGTTAGGTGGTTTATTAAGTTGAATTTGCCATATAGTATCATGTGTCACTTTTAGTGGATATGAATGGCAAACCTTGTTTAGCAGATAGAATTAAATGAAGATGATTAAAAGTATTAAACACCTTTATTTCAAATATTTACAAAAATATCCCTGTAAATGTGCCGTACCCAAGGCCCCTAAATCTTAATCTTGAAAATGTATTCTTATTAGCATATTTATAGAGTGGGTTTTTGGGGGTTAGTTTGTTTTGGAGATAGGGTCTCACTGTGTTGTCCAGGCTGGAGTACAGTGCCCTGATCTCACGCCTCACTTGCAGCCTCAGCCTCCCTGGCTCAGGTGATTGTCCTATTTCAGCCTCCTGAGTAGCTGGGACCACAGGCACATGTCATCATGCCCGGCTTTTTTTTTTTTTTTTTTTTTTTTTGTATAGATGGGGTTTCACCATGTTGCCCAGGTTGTTCTTAAACTCCTGGCCTCAAGAAACCCTCCTGCCTTGGCCTCTCAAAGTGGTGGGATTACAGGTATGAGTCACTAGGCCCGGCTAGGCCATTGCGACCATACCTCCCTGCAACCTCCACCTCCCAGGCTTCAGTGATCCTCCCACTTTAACCTTTCAGTTAGCTGGGACTATACACATGCACCACAATGCCCAGCTGATCTTTGTATTTTTATTAGAGATAAAATAATAAAATACAGATGGGGTTTTGCCATGTTGCCCAGGCTGTTGTATGTTGTTGAGGATTTTCTTTAAAACCTGTCTTTTCGAATGAGGAAGTAAAATCAGAAAGAGAATAATAATGTCTTAAATTTTATTGCTCATTTTGTTTTCTTTTGTTTCTTTCTCTTAGGTGGGAATGATGAACAATCCCAATCCTTATGGTTCACCATATACTCAGAATCCTGGACAGCAGATTGGAGCCAGTGGCCTTGGTCTCCAGATTCAAACAAAGACTGTACTATCAAATAACTTACCTCCATTTGCAATGGATAAAAAGACAGTTCCTGGTGGAGGAATGTCCAGCATGGTGAGTACTAATCAATTACAGACTTGTTTTCATACTGGCATTTTGATAAAAGAATTGTGTTAAACTTTTCACAGCTTCTATTCTATACACTGAGATTTGTATACACTTGAAGCCTAAATTGATAAGTAATTGATGATCCCTGTGAGTCAGAAGACTTGTCCTTCCTTTCCATTTTTCGTAATTTTGTTTTCCTTGTGGTTGTTGATCAGTGAGCATGTTGATCCAAACAGGAGTAAGTAGAAACAGTGATTTTTGTTACAATTTTTGTACAGACCGCTAGTAGTAAATATGTCGTAGTCTGCATTCATCTTTGGAAAAAATTGTCCTGTAATTTCTCTTTCAGATGTTTTAGTTTTTCCTTTCCTTTGTGTCATTATGTTCATGGACTACTTGTATTTCAAATACTCTCCCAAGTACTAGAGCTATACAGGTGAATGAAACATGTCATCTCTGTCCTGTGAAATGTTCGCTTTTTTTTTTTTTTAAGTCGGAGTCTTGCTCTGTCCCCCAGACTGGAGTGCAGTGGCTCGATCCTGACTCATTGCAACCTCCACCTCCCGGGTTTGAGCAGTTCTCCTGCCTCAGCCTCCCCGGTAGCTGGGACTACAGGCACATGCTGCCATGCCTGGGTAATTTTTTGTATTTTTAGGAGAGACAGGGTTTCACCATGTTGCCCAGGCTGTGGAACTCCTTAGCTCAGGCAATCCACCCTCCTGGGCCTCCCAAAGTGCTGGGATAACCGGTGTGAGTCACCTGCCCAGCCCCAATGTTCACTTTTCAGTTTAAAAAGCTAAATTTCTCCCAGAGCTTAGAAAAACTAATTTTTCAGCCACCTGAAAAACCCCTCTGCTCAGTCTCCCGAGAATTCTTCATTGCTCTTTAAAACCTAATTTGGGTATGCTTCTGACTACAGACACCTTTTCTCCTTTCCCTCTTCCACTGGAGTTTACCATGTCCTTCTCTCTGCTTTTGCTCTCTGTATATTATGCATAGTTATATCACTTAATAATACCTTTTTTTGTCTTACTAAATTGAGCTTCTTAAAAGTAGGAGCCTTGGTTTATGAATTCCCTGTGGCAAAAAATGGAGTCTGGCTTATAGTATATCAACCATAAAGGTTTTAATTGAAAATATCCACATCTCTATTTATTAAGAGATAGCACATTATGACTCCTGCCGTTAAACATATTATTATATCTCTCAGGGCCAACAGCCAGCCTCGCAGGTCCAGCAGCCAGGCCTGGTGACTCCGGTTGCCCAAGGGATGGGTTCTGGAGCACATACAGCTGATCCAGAGAAGCGCAAGCTCATCCAGCAGCAACTTGTTCTCCTTTTGCACGCTCACAAGTGCCAGCGCCGAGAGCAAGCCAATGGGGAAGTGAGGCAGTGCAACCTTCCCCACTGTCGCACAATGAAGAATGTCCTAAACCACATGACACACTGTCAGTCAGGCAAGTCTTGCCAAGGTAAGTGGACCCGCAGGGTTACTGTATTTAGCAATTAATTTTTACAGTCAGGGAGAAGGAGGTAAATGTGACCAAGTCTATTTTGTGGTGATGGATATGTTTAGTACCTTAATTGTGGTGTATGGGTATGTACAAAGTCATTAAAATAGGCCAGGCCAGGTGTGGTGGCTCACACTTAAAATCCCAGCACTTTGATAGGCCAAATGGGGAGGATTTCTTGAGGCCATGAATTTGAGACCAGCCTGGACAACACAGTGAGACCTCGCCGGGCATAGTGGTGCAGTTGTAGTCTTAGCTGAGGACTAAGAAGGCTGAGGAAGGAGGATTACCTAAGCCCAGGAAGTCAAGGCTGCAGTGGGCTATGATTGCACCACTGTACTTCAGCCTGGGTGACAATGCGAGACCACGTCTTTAAAAAAAAGTCGGCGCGGTGGCTCATGCCTGTCATCCCAGCACTTTGAGAGACTGAGACGGGCAGGTCAGTTGAGCTCAGGATTCAAGACCAGCCTGGGCAATATGGTGAAACCACATCTCTACAAAAATTACAAAAGAAAATCAGCCGGATGCCTGGGTATGTGCCTGCAGTCCCAGCTACTTGGGAGACTGAGGTCGGAGGATGTCTTGAGCCCAAGAGAGAGGTTAGGGTTGCTGTGTTTCAGCCTCATACCACTGCACTCCAGCCTGGGCAATAGCGCCAAACCCTATTTCAGAAAACAAAAAAGTATACATAAATATGTGCAATTTTTAAAATACCGTGTATACCTCAGCATTTTAAAAATTCGATTGTCTAAATGCATCATCACAGTTCACTCGGTAAAGGTCGTCTTGGCTGCATCCATTCTATGGTAGTTACGGATAAAGCTGCCATAATAAACAAAATCAATTTTGAGACTCCTTTGCTAATAGTGTCTAACATTATTTTAGGAAATGATAAAAAACACAGTATCATTTTTGTGAGCAAATATTAAGAATATGGGAAGAGAAGAAATTTAAAAGGTCTTTCCATGTGCTGATCCTAATAGACTTTGAGTTTTATTTGCCCCAGCATAGCATACTTTAAATGTTATTGAGGGTTTGCTAACTGTCATGTAGGCAAGTGTTCAATTTAATACAATTTACTATAGTCATTTTTAGCCAATCTAATGCAGTTTTTGTGGAGTCATTAAACGTGTTCTTATAGGTATGTATGTCATAACATTGGTTTAGAGTACATTTGCTTAGACTAAAGTAGGTTGTATAGCATCATGGTGAAAAATGAGGGCTCTAGAGCCAGACTGCTTGAGGTTGAATCTCACTTTGAGTACTCTGTGACTTTGTGCAAATTGCTTTATCCATTCTTTTGTTTTCTTGAGTGTAAATTCTGAGTATTAATAGGAGCTATACCTTATAGGGCTGTTATGAAGATGAAATAAGTTAATGCATTTATAGTACTTACTAAGTGATCAACAAATTAGCTATTATTAATGTAAAAGCATAACCTGTTCTTGAAAAAAATTTTTCTTCTCTTTAGTGGCACACTGTGCGTCTTCTCGACAAATCATTTCACACTGGAAGAATTGTACAAGACATGATTGTCCTGTGTGTCTCCCCCTCAAAAATGCTGGTGATAAGAGAAATCAACAGCGTAAGTGATGAAGTCTTTAAAGGTTTATATGAAAAGTTTTTAAAGGTCTCACCAGTGCCATTTATAGTACTTCTTGATTATGTGAGGGACCTGTGGTATTGTACTACTGTGTTGAAAAAGTGTTTTTTTTTTCCCCTTTTAATTTTTTTGTATCCCTCATATTAGTGCATAGAATTGAACTGCTTAGGGAGTTTGAAGCTACAGTGAGCTATGGTTATGCTACTGTACTCCAGCCTGGGTGATGGCATGAGACCTTGCCTCAATTTAAAAAAAAAAGAAGACCAATGCAGTGGCTCACACCTGTCATTCAAACAATTTTAGAGGCCAAGGCAAGAGGATTGCTTGAGGCCAGGAGTTCAGCCTAGGCAATTTAGCAAGACCTTGTATCTTCCAAAAAATTTAAAAATTAACTGTGTGGTATATGCAACCTCCATCTCCCGGATTCAAGTGATTCCCCTGCCTCAGCCTCCTGAGTAGCTGGGGCTATAGGTGCACACCACCACACCTGGCTGATTTTTTGTATTTTAGTAGAAACGGGGTTTCACCATGGCCAGGGTGGTTCTCAATCTCCTGACCTCATGATCCGCCCGCTTTGGCCTCCCAAAGTGCTAGGATTACAGGCTTGAGTAACCTCGCCTGGCCTCAATAGTCATTCTTTAGACAAACAGCAAATAGGTAAATTTATGTTCCACTTTGAACCTATGAAAATTCAAAGAATATTGCTTTGGCATTGGGCAAGTTGCACTTTAATACTTGTGATCTAAACATTCCAGTACTTGGAAATTATTTAAAAGCAAAAAATTGGGGATTATTTTTATAATATTGGGATAAAGAAGAACTTTTAAGAGCAAAGACAAGTAAAAATATTAACATTTTAAAACTGTAGCTACCACATCTCTGTAGCAATAGAACTTTGAACGTTTAGGGTTAAAGGACAAATTTGGGATGTATATGTACAGCATATGAAAATGGAATTACATTTTATTACAAAATTTGGAATAGGAAATAGACAATTCAGCAGGGCTAGAGGAGAGAGTGGGGACTCCCATATAATTCACTATTGAATTAAGAGAAACAGGTACTATTTCTCTTTTGTGGTGTTGGCAGAAATGATGCTGCCAGGTGTTGGCAGTTGAATGGCTCTAAAGAATTCATACAGTGTTGGTCAGAACATTAATAAAGCCCTTTGGGAAGACTGTTTGGCATTCAGAATCAAAAGCCTTTTATACCAGTAGTCAACTTTTACCAATTAGTTCTGCAACTAGAAATTTCTTCAAGGAAATAATGGAAGACAAGATTCATGTACTAAGATGTTTCATAATCACATAACAATTTTGTGTGTGGGGGTGTGTGTGTGTGTGTGTGTGTTTAATTTACTCAGACATGTTAGTTTTCTTTTCTCACCAACCTTAATGTAATACTGTGTCTTTTGTTTTTTTGTAGCAATTTTGACTGGAGCACCTGTTGGACTTGGAAATCCTAGCTCTCTAGGGGTGGGTCAACAGTCTACCCCCAACCTAAGTACTGTTAGTCAGATTGATCCCAGCTCTATAGAAAGAGCCTATGCAGCTCTTGGACTACCCTATCAAGTAAATCAGATGCCAACACAACCCCAGGTGCAAGCAAAGAACCAGCAGAATCAGCAGTCTGGGCAGTCTCCCCAAGGCATGCGGCCCATGAGCAACATGAGTAAGTTTGTGTCATCCTAATAACATGGTTTTGGTTGTGTTGGTAAATGACATCTATAAATGGAGGGTTGTTAGCTTCTTCTTTTTCTGCGACGTGATTAATTTTTTGAAGTAATTTTTTTTTTTTTTTTTTTTTTTGAGACTGAGTCTCACTATGTCACCCAGGCTGGAGTGCAGTGGTGCAATCTCAGCTCACTGCAACCTCTGCCTTCCCTGTTCAAGCGATTCTCCTGTCTGAACCTCCCAAGTAGCTGGGATTATAGGCGCCTACCACCATGCCTAGCGAATTTTTTTTTTTTGTATTTTTAATAGAGACAGGGTTTCCCTGTATTGGCCAGGCTGGTCTCAAGCTCCTGACCTCAAGTGATCCTCCTCCCTCTACCTCCCAAATTGCTGGGATTATAGGCGTGAGCCACTGTGCCTAGCCTGAAGTAATTTTTTAAAGATTACAGTTTAAAAGGTCTCTAACAATTCATCTATATGAGGTAACCGCCGTTGGTTTGTATCTTCGTTGATCCTTTTTTGCATTATATGAGTTTAGATTTGCAGAAATGAGATCCCATATATTATTACACAACAGCTTTCTTTAATAATGTGTAGATATCTTTCATAGTCAGCACCCCATGTATCGTTTTAAATGGTTTTGTAGTATGTCATTCTATGTAACAGTCTTGGCTTTTGTTTTTTGTTAGTTTTTAAGATAGATTCTCGCTCTGTCACCCAGACTGGAGTGCAGTGCCACAATCTTGGCTCACTGCAACCTGCACCTGTCGGGTTCAAGTGATTCTCCTGCCTCAGCCTCCCAAGTAGCTGGGACTGCTGCTAAAACCAGCTACTATATGTATACACATAAACACACACACACACACACTCTCTCTCTCGCTCTCGCTCTCGCTCTAACCGTAGTAGCCACCATGCCTAGCTGATTTTTGTGTTTTTAGTAGAAATGGGGTTTCACTATGTTGGCCAGGCTGGTCTCGAACTCCTGACCTGGTGATCCACCTGCCTCTGCCTCCCAAAGTGCTGGGTTTACAGGTATGAACCATCACACCCGGCCTAACGATCTTTTACAGATGGACATTGAGATCTCTAATTAGTTAGCTTTTTTAAACTGTACAATAGAAATTGTTGTGTTTTGACTTGAGGCATTTTGGTTTGAAATGTATAGAAATGAGTGTAGTTGTTGGTAATGATTATTTCCATGTGTTTGGCAGGAGGTATGGTATGCCTTTTCAAATATGTGTTTTTTGTTTTTTTGTTTTTTTTCTTGAGGTGGAGTTTCACTCTTGTTGTTCAGGCTAGAGTGCACTCTTGGCTCACTGCAACCTTCGCCTCCTGGGTTCAGGCAATTCTCTTGCCTCAGCCTCCCAAGTAGCTTGCGTTTACAGGCATGAACCACCACGCCTGGCTAATTTTTGTGTTTTTTAGTAGAGATGGGGTTTCACCGTGTTGGCCAGGCTGGTCTTGAACTCCTGACCTCAGCCTGCCTCGGCCTCCCAAAGTACTGGGGTTACAGGCGTGAGCTACCGCGCTTGGCTCAAATAGTTTTTTTTATGACTTGTTTGCCTCACTTGTATGAATGACAGAGAAGAGGGAGAAGTGTTCTAATATCCTAATGTGGGGATATATGTATGTTTCTCTGATTGCATATGATAAAAGTGGGAGATTTGTTCTAATATCTTAATTTTGGGATATATATGTTTGTCTAATTGCATATGATAAAATCAGACAGCTTTGTTCTGTGTCTTACCACTCTGCTGTCAAGCAATTCAAATATCTAAGCTGTTTTGTTTTGAGTAGTTAGACATCCAGCATTGTAAAGATGGGGTCTTGTCCAGGCTGGTCTTGAACTCCTGGGTTCAACCACTTCTCCTGTCTTGGCCTCCCAAAGTGCTTTGATTATAGGCATGAGCCCCTGCACCTGGCCTAAGGTTTTTTTTTTTTTTCCCTTGAGACTGAGTCTCACTGTATCGCCCAGGCTGGAGTGCAGTGGCACAGTCTTGGCTTACTGCAGCTTTTGCCTCCCAGGTTCAAGCATCAAGCAGTTCTTGCTTCAGCCTCCCGAGTAGCTTGAATTGCAGGTGCCTGCCACTATGCCCAGCTAATTTATTTATTATTTTTTTATTATTATTTTTTGTAGAGACAGGGTTTTGCCATATTGGCTAGGCTGGTCTTGAACTCCTGACCTCTGGTGATACACAGGCCCTGCCTCCCAAAATGCTGGGATTACCAGCATTGGCTTGAACCATCACACCCGGCCCTGCTATGACTATTTTAGAAAGTCATGCTAATGCTTATTACCAGACCATTTCTACTTTAATATTACTTATATTCTTCATTCCTGCCCTGTTGTTATTGTTTATTACTTGGTCCGTTTATTTCATTCCTTTTTTTTTCTTTTCTGATTTCATTCTTGAAAGCAGCATTTTCAAAGAGGATGTTTTTCTTGATTTTTACCTAATTAGGAATTTAGATAAGTTTTCTTAGATAAATTTTGGATAACTAGAAGATGTGTGTGTGTGTGTGTGTGTGTGTGTGTGTGTGCGCGCGCGTGTGAGAGAGAAAGAGACTGACTGAGACTGACCGGGTCTTGCTTTGTCACCCACACTGGAATGCAGTAGTGCGATCTTGGCTTACTGCTACCTCTGCCTCCTTGTCTCAAGTGATTCTCCCACCTCATCCTCCCAAGTAGCCGGGTCCACACATGTGCACCATCACACCTAGATAATTTTTGTATGTTTTATAGAGACAGGATTTCCTCATGTTGCCCAGGCTGGTCTTGAACTCCTGAGCTCAAGTGATCCACCTGCCTCGTCCTCCCAAAGTAGTTTGTGTTTTTCATTACTTCCGGGGGACAATCAGTGTAACTTGTTAAATAATTATTGAGTGACCAGTTTTTAAGCAGGACTAAGAAATGGAATGAGGAGCAATCCTGCCTTTTCAAGCCTCCTTTCACCTCTTCTGTATTGAAAGTACATATACAAGGGTAATGGAAAGTTGGACCTCAAGATGATCATATTTTCCCCTCTTGTTTTATATCTTTTGTCTTGGAATTAGCATTGCTTTTTTCTCTCCCATTCCGTGTTATGCAGAATGCACCTTGCCTTCTTCCTTAATTTTTAGGATGTTGACCTTAGGTTGTTGTTTTCCCCTGGCCTAAAATTTTATTATTGTAATTGGGTAGTTCCCTTTTATTGTTCAAACTTCTATGTGCAGTTCCTATTACAGCTCTTTTCCTTTCCTTGTATTATCTACCTGTATACTTTTTATATATGCAGAATTATTTGAATGATAGTTTTGGGGGATTTTCTTTTCCCCATTTCTTGGTTGTCTTTTTATGTTAGAATTAGGTTTAAGATTATTCCAGTTTCCTTGTTTTTTTTTAAATTTCTTCAGTTAATAATATCTTTGTAGTAATAATTGTCTTTGTGAACAAGAACCTGGAGACTTCGGAGAGAATGTGTTGCTGTGTTTTTATGTATCAGCAGACGTCACTAAGATAAGCAAATTCATGTACAGTGTAATCAGTCTTTCATTTCATTGCAGTAAACAAGTTTATGTTAGATATAATTTATCTACAAACGTGATTTTCACACAAGATTTTTTTTTTTTTTAATATGGAACACTTCATGAATTTGCGTGTCATCCTTGCACAGGGGCCATGCTAATCTTCTCTGTGTTGTTCCAAGTTTAGGACATGTGCTGCCATAGCGAGCACTGACAAAAGATTTTTACAGTAACACATACATAATTAATGACGTCACAGTTCTAGTTGGAAAAGACCACTTGTAACAGCTAAATTTCAGAGAACTAGCCTGATAATATTAGAAGGAAAATTTTGTCTGGGCACAGTAACTCATGCCTGTAATCCTGTCACATGGGAGGCCAAGGTGGGAGGATTACTTGAACCCAGGAGTTTCAGGATGCTGTTGTCATTGTGTGCCTGCATTCCAACCTGGGTGACAGAGTGAGACTTTGTCTCAAAAACAAAGCAATGAAGGAAAGTTCATCCTAAGCATTTAGGGAACATGATGAATGAAGGCAGCAGCATTTCTCTTCGTTAAAAATGATTTGTAGATTGAGCCAGTTATTTTCATTTTAGTGGGAGGTTTTGTTTTTGACTAAAAATAACTTGGGTGTATTAATAGAACTGTATCGAAAGTCTTTTAACTACATGAAAATTTGGTTTGATGTGAGTGTTGCCGTTGGTTTAGTGATTTTTTTTAACATTGAACAACATGGGTTTGAATGTGTTTAGTTTTTCTTTTTTGTTTGTTTGTTTTTTGTTTGGTTTATCTCTCCGAGTCACTTAACATGTTTTTAGTGTTTAAAGCAATAGAATATACAGCCAGGCGTGATGGCTTATGCCCATAATCCCAACACACTGGGAGGCCAAGACCCGAGGATTGCTTGAGCATAGGCATTTGAGACCAGCCTGGTCAACATAGTGAATAGCCCCATCTCTATTTACTTTTTGAAATGGAGTTTCTGTCAGTGCAGTGGCATGGTCTCGGCTCACTGCACCCTCTACCTCCCAGGTTCAGGCAATTCTTCTGCCTCAGCCTCCCGTGTAGCTGGGACCACCGGCACGTACCACCACACCCAGCTAATATTTGTATTTTTAGGAGAGATGGGGATTCACTGCTCATTCTATACGTATGTAACTGTAAGACATCAAAAGTGGAAATTCTAGGAATATATGCATGAATGTTTTTACTTGCCAAATAGCTCTTCCAAGAGATTATCAGTTTATACATCTGTGCATTTTGGTTGAAAAATGTATATTTCCACACATCACTCTCAACACTTGGATTTAGAAAACCAACATCTACAAGCTTTGAGAATTTCATACATGAAAATATGTTTTAACTGTAAGTGTTGTGCACATTTGTATTTTTTTTAAAAAAGTTACTATATTTCATTTTCTATAATTTACTGTTGGGTGGTTCATCTTTTTCTTACCTGTTTGTAAGGGTTCAGCTCAGCCTTTATATTGCCAATTATTTATTGTATGTGCTGCTAATATTTTTTCTGATTTGTCATTTGTTTGTTGACTTTATGGTGTTTATTGTATGGTGGCTGTTGGATTTATTTCTGTCTTTTGTTATTTTGTTTTGTCTTAGGTGCTAGTCCTATGGGAGTAAATGGAGGTGTAGGAGTTCAAACGCCGAGTCTTCTTTCTGACTCAATGTTGCATTCAGCTATAAATTCTCAAAAGTAAGTCTTATCATGGTTTGTACCCTGGGTCACATTACAAATACTGGTTAACAACTCCTTGTTTGAGTTTTTAACTTAGTTTTCATGGTTTGTGGATGTCCTTGAATATAGACAGACGTTTAAGTCCATTCATTCTTCTTTCTACAGTCCTTATTTGAAATTATATTGATTATCTAGTGTAGCCTAGACCTTCCCTAATACAGCAGGATGTTGCAAGGTTACAGCTCTATTAGAATGAGTTCGCCTTATCCTGATGTTAAGAATTAGTCCACCAGCCTGGGCAATATGTCAAGACCTCTTCTCTACAAGAAAATACTAAATGTTTGCTAGGTCTGGTGATGTGCACCTGTACTCCCAGCTACTGAGGAGGCTGAGTTGGGAGAAGCACTTGAGCTTGGGAGGTCAAGGCTATGATGAGTGGTGATTACACCACTGCACCCCAGTCTGAGTGACAGCGAGACTCTGTCTGAAAAAATAATTTTTTCTTTAAAAAAAGAATTAGTCCATCATCCAAAGGATTCCCTGAGGTGAGCTGTGTTAAAATGGCAGCTTAGTCTGATAACACAAGACTTACAAAACTTAAGTCTGGACCAGGCATGGCAGTTCACCTGTAATCCCAGCACTGTGGGAGGCTGAGGCAGGTAGATCACTTGACCTTAGGAGTTCAAGACCAGCCTGGACAACATGGCGAAACCTTGTCTCTGCTAAAAATACAAAAATTTGCCGGGTATGGTGGCACACATCTCTAATCCCAGCTACTCAGGATGCTGAGGCAGGAGAATCACTTGAACCCGGGAGGCAGAGGTTGCAGTTAGCCAAGATCACGCCACTGCACTCCTGCCTGAGCAACAGGATAAGACTGTCTCAAAAAAAAAAAAAAATAGGCCGGGCACGGTGGCTCAAGCCTGTAATCCCAGCACTTTGGGAGGCCGAGACGGGTGGATCACGAGGTCAAGAGATCGAGACCATCCTGGTCAACATGGTGAAACCCCGTCTCTACTAAAAATACAAAAAATTAGCTGGGCATGGTGGCGTGTGCCTGTAATCCCAGCTACTCGGGAGGCTGAGGCAGGAGAATTGCCTGAACCCAGGAGGCGGAGGTTGCGGTGAGCCGAGATCGCGCCATTGCACTCCAGCCTGGGTAACAAGAGCGAAACTCCGTCTCAAAAAAAAAATAGTACAAAAAATTGCCAGGCGCAGTGGCTCACGCCTTTAATCCCAGCATTTTGGGAGGATAAACCAGGTGGATTACTTGAAGTGAGAAGTTTGAGACCAACCTAGTCAACATCGTCAAACCCCGGCTCTACTAAAATAGAAAAATTATCAGGATGTGGTGGCAGGTGCCTGTAATCCCAGCAACTCAGGAGGCTAAGGCAGGAGAATTGCTTGAATCCAGGAGGCAGAAGTTGCAGTGAGCTGGAATTGGCTCACTACACGCCAGCCTGCACGACAGAGCAAGGCTCCCATCTCAAAAACAAAATAAAGAAAATTAGCTGGACATGGTGATGCATGCCTGTAATCCAAGCCACTTGGGAGGCTAAGGCACAAGAATTGCCTGAACCTGGGAGGCAGAGGTTGCAGTGAGCTGAAATTGCACCACTGCACTCCAGCCTGGGCGACAGAACAAGACTGTGTCTCAAAAAAAAAGCATAACAAAACCTAGAAAATTAAGTCTTATGTTATCTTGTGTGAGGACCTCATTCTGCCCTCCAAACAAAGAAATACAACTTTCCCTCACACCGGTATGAACATGCACACTTTAAAATGAGTCTAGTCACATAGTTCTCCCTGCCCATCTCCTTAATGCAAATAAACGTGACATAGTGTATTGGTTCCATTACAATAATCAGTCAGCTTGAATTAAATGAGGTCTTCTTTCTCCTACCCTTCTTCACTAAAACTATTTGGTGACCCCTTTTTGAAGCCCAATGATGAGTGAAAATGCCAGTGTGGCCTCCCTGGGTCCTATGCCAACAGCAGCTCAACCA